GGGGGCTGCGCTTCGGTCTGGCGGGCTTACCTGCCGAGTCGACGGTGATGTCGATGTTGGGGCTCAGGGTCCGGTACCAGCGGTAGATGCACAGGATGACCCAGAGGGAGTCGGTGTTGCGGGCTAGGGGTACGGCGCCCTTGCCGAAGGACGGTACGTGGCAGAAGGGGTGGGAGAAGGAGGCATTGGGGGAGAAGTATTCGGCGAGCGTGTCCTGCTGCTCTTGGGGGGAGCCGGTGGTGAGGGTGGTGATGACGGAGGCGATTTCTTGGACTGGGAGCGCGCTGTTAGCAGCGGGTTGAGGGTGGTGGAGGGAGGGGGGTAGGCACCTGGGTGTTCCATTTTGAAGATTGGCGGGTTTATCTGTTGGTGGAGGGGCTGTTGGTGAAGGGGGCGTTGATGCTGGTGATGGACCTGATGACGGCCCAAGGAGGCGAGGTTGGAGCGGAGAGTGCGGCGACCACCGAGCTCCAATTGCGGACGATGAGGGTGAGGGTGAGGGTTCAGTTTTTGAATTCGTCTTGGCAAGGAAGCAAGTGAACAAGGCAGACAGACACGGGGCGAAAAACCCCTCTCACATGGTTCCCTTGGGCGCGGGTGCGAAACGCAGTCTTGGACGGATGTGAGACGCGACGTCACCACGGGCCGTTATCGACCAGCGTGCCCGGCCCGTCGAAGCCGTCGATCGACGATTGTCAACCCAAGCACAAGCCATTGCCGTGCGTCTCCGCTTTCCATGTCAATGTGCCGTGTCTTAGTGGCCGCGTGGGATGAATGGCGCTGGCTGAGTTTAGAGAGAGAGAGAGGGCGAGAGAGATAAGAGAGGGAAATTGCATGTGAAACCGGACCCATCTGGTCACTCTGACGTCACCACCTTCTCACCTTGCGCCCGGCTTGCATCGCCGAACAATCCGATGGATGCGAACTGTTGACCGACCGTCTGGCGTGCCTGGCCCATGATGGCGCAGATACGGTGCTCTGCACAAGTTTCGGTATTTATGGGCATGGCAAGGTGGACTTGCAGACCTTGATCTTCTCTCTTCATCCCAACATTGACGTCTTTGTGGCAAAACACCATGGCGTCCAGGTCGCAGCTTGCCAACCCGCTGCTCAACCCCCTCCTCTTCGTCTACCAAATCATCCAATGGCTCATCAACTACGCGCTGTCGCCCAGCCCGCCCCGGGCCGATGCTGAGCTGTCCCGGCCCAAGATTGCCGTTGTGGGCGCCGGCATCACGGGCATCACGGCCGCCGCCCACTGTGTCGGCCACGGCTTCGACGTGACGATTTTCGAAGCCGGGCCCGAGGAGCAGCTGGGCGGGATCTGGAGCGTATGTTTTTCTGTTTCTCTTTGCCTGGACTCCCCCAATGTTGGCTAACATGCTGGCAGAGAGTCAACGACACCTCGGCCCTCCAAATCCACTCCGTCATGTACAGATTCCACCCCTCGGTCAAGTGGGAGCGCGGATATCCCGACCGCAAGCAAATCATCCACGAGGCCAAGCAGCTCTGGCGCAGGTACAACCTCCAGAACAAGACCAGGTTCGACTTCCGGGTCGACAAGGCGTACCAGGACGACAAGGCCCGCTGGATCATCAACAACCCTTCCAACGGCCGCTTCGACGGCCTGGTCGCCGCCGTCGGCACCTGCGGCGACATCAAGATGCCCAACCTGCCCGGGCTGGACTCGTTCAAGGGCGACGTCTACCACTCCAGCCAGCTGACGGGCAAGAACGCCAAGGGCAAGAAGCTCGCCGTCATCGGGGGCGGCGCGTCGGCCATCGAGGCGCTCGAGTTCGCCGCCAGGGCCGACGCCGCCAAGGTGACCATCATCTCGCGCTCCGAGAAATGGATCATCCCGCGCAACATTGTCGTCGACACGCTGCTGTCCTTCAACATCCTCGGCCAGGAGACGGTGCTCTCCTTCATCCCCGAGTTCCTGCTGCGCAAGCTCTTCTACCGCGACCTCGAGGACATTGCGCCCGCGCGCGGCAACGGCCTCTTCATGGACACGCCCATGGTCAACTCGGACATCATGGCCAAGCTGCGCGACGGCAAGGCCGCCTGGGTCCGCGGCGACATCGAGGCCGTCGTCGAGCGCGGCGTGCGCGTGAACCGGCGCGCCAGGGGCGTCCCCAAGGGCGGCCCGGGCCACGACGAGGTCGTCGACGCCGACATCATCGTCATGGCCACGGGCTTCAAGCGCCCGTCGCTGTCCTTTTTGCCCGACGACTGCTTCGCCGACCCCTACCCGCCGCCCAACTGGTATCTCCAGACCTTCCCGCCGCCGCACCCGTCCGTGTCCGCCATCAACTGCACCTACGTCTCGGCCATTGGCTCCGTCGGCAACTGGCACATTGGCATCTACACGCGCATCCTGCTCATGTTCCTCGTCGACCCGCTCGCCCGGCCCAGCCCCTTTTGGATGCGCCGCTGGATCGACATGACGCGCCTGCTCAAGCGCTCCAGCCCGACCGGCGCCTTTGACTTCTTCACCTACCTCGAGCTGGTGTGGTGGTTCGTCTTTTGCGTCGCCATCAACCCCTTCCGCTGGAAGTGGGCCGTCTTTGTGTTTCTCGGCGTCGGCATCGACTTGCCCAAGGCCTTTGTCGAGAGGGAGCGGCGGCTGCTGAACGGCGTCGAGGGCTACGAGAACAGGGATGCTGGGAGGAGTTTCTAAGGGGGCGAGGAGGCTTGCTGCGGGCATGGAACGGCAAAACTGTGGTAGTCGGCGCTGTGCAGACTTGATTTTTTTGCTCCTTGGGGAAATGACTGGGTAATGCGGCGTGGGGAACAAAATTGTCCTGCTGAAATGAGAATACATGACCATGATGTGCGAAATGCGGTATGCAACTCGGGTCCAAGGGGTTGGTTGTTTATTTGTGTGTCATGTGGGTAGCACAACCATGGTACCAGGTGCCTTTTGAGATTCTTTTTCTTTTCTTTTCATTCTTTTAAAAAAAGTCACGCCTTTTAATATCAAGAAAAGCTAATGGCCATTATAAACCATAGCCGGCGTGCTTGTAGAAAAGTAGAAGCGTCGTGGGACAAGGCATATATCTCTGGTACTTACTTGGTTGAGAACCACCAACTCGTCCCAACTCGCAACCACCACCTAGATTCTGCATATTCATTCTTTCGAGGAGATATATGTTCCTCTGTAAATCATGGGGGCCTGGTATTAGTTGCCCAAGCCACCCTCGCCACAGTCAGGGGTGCTGTTTATGCCAAATGGGGTGCTGAGTCAATCTTTCGGATACTCTCCCCGTTTTATGCATCTTCATGGCGTGCCGAATGGGTCCGGTGCTTTTTTGTTATTTCCGCTGGCGTATCTCACATGTACGAATTCGGCAGCCGCACCGGGCTTCCGTACATCGTCATACAGGCTCGGCTCTACGCCGCATCGTTCGTCGCGACTCAGCCAGTGGTTTGTGTTATTTCACCTGGGAAGGAAAAAAAACCTTTGACGGCGGGCTGTGCTGTGTGGCGCCTGCTCACGGCCGGGCATACTCGGTGACAATCGGGAAACTCACGCCACGCGCCTCGAGCAAAGACGGTGCTTCCTTGAAAGTTGCTAATGCCAAACATGCTAAGCATGGCGGTGGAGAGAGCATGATGACTGCTCTATTGTAGTTATAAATACTGAAACATTTTGATCAAAGTTGGTCCCACTTTTGATTCACCTATATTGACCTTAGTCTCAGTTAGGATTAAAGCGTCCCACTTTTGATTCATCTATATTGGCCTTACAGAGTAGTCTCAGTCAGCTCCCACCGGAGTGCGGTTAGGGTTAGGGTCAGCGGTGTACGTCAGCTGCTCCGGATCATCACCCGAAGTGCTGTACCTTGTCCTCTGCATCATGCCATCTGTTAATACGGCAGGGCTGTTGTGTCAAGGACTGATAAACAATGCTCCTGACTCAGTGGTAGATCAAGGTAGCTCCTCTCACCCACGCAAACATGCAAACAAATCATCTTGCAAGTAATCCACTTCCACGTCCTTCGCCCCTGACAGGGTTATTCATGATAAATGCGAGCCGGGACGACGCGTCCAGTCAGGCGAGTTTTGTGGCTCTTCTTTAGACACCGTGGGGAATAATCCAGCCTGATGAGTCCAAGACTTAAGCAACTAGGCTCCCATGAATCTAATTTATTCGACAGCATTATGCCTTGGAAATGCGAAGCATGGATAGCCCTTTGCACGACAATCAAGGCCACGACAACTCGGTCTATTGTCTTGATCATTCCGACATATTTAAGAAGCACATCTCTCGCCCTTTCGACAGCATGCTCGGGCTTTAGACAAGCAGGTCCAGGAGTCTTGTTCCTGATCATACTCTTTTCTCTTCTCTCCTTTCACCCCCAATTTTTCTTCTTCTTGCGCTGGACTGCTGGCTGCTATTTCTAGCAACTTTTCCCATATATTCCTTTCAAAGTCTGTCATCATGGTGATGCTGCCCCTTCTCGTCTCTGGCCTCATGGCGGCGGTTTCCGTAGCTGGCCCTATGGACATGAGGGCCGTTGGGCATCATTGTGCGACACGCAGCCCCCTGGAGGAGCGCGGGCTGTTCGCACGACAGAGGCCTCAGCAGAACCCCCTGCCTGACGATGGACAAGAGATCAACTTGGGCTTTGTTTTGCATTTCTGCTGCGGCGGGGGCAGCCAATGCCCCTCGGTAAGGTTCCTGCCCAGACTTGGCTCAACGGAATCCCGATGCTGACATGCTACCCCAAGGACTCGGTCGCTGAAAAGGCCGTCGAAGACATGAACGGGCTCTTTGCAAATGGCAAGATCAAGTTCAACCTGCAAAACGTTTCGCGTATCGCCGATCCACTCTGCATTTCCGGTGTGACAGATAACAAGGCCATGGACCAGCTGAAGTCGCGGGTCCATCAAGGCAATACGACCACTCTCAATATCGTCTACGTGCCGACAAACTCGGGCGCAGGAACCAAAGGCATGTGCATCGTGCCGGAAAAAGGCACAAACATTTCCAAGGGTATTGGCGACGTGGACGGATGCGTTGTGGCCATGGACACTCTGCCCAAGAGTAATAGTAGCAACGGCGGCAATGGTCGTCTACAAGGAAATAACGGAAGCGGCGGACGACTTGGAGGGCTATTCGGCCATCTTTTTGGTCGCCAGGACGGCGGCGTCGATGGCGGCGTCGGCGGCGGCGGCGATGCCCATATCAGCGGCGCCCTCGCCACCTCTGTACATGAGACGGGCCACTGGCTTGGCGAGCTTCATGCCGGCGGCGGCGGCGACGTCCCCGACACCGCAAACGTCATGGTACCTTGGTCGATGTATGTGTCTCCTCCCTTACCAGTGTTCAAAGTGTCGAGTGTGACTAACCTGACCTCTTCTAGATTTGAAAAGCAGTATTCATTCACTGCAGATCAATTCCAACGGATGCGCCAGACGGCACTTGCTCGTGTGAACGACAAAAACACCCCCGTGGCTAACAAGACGGATACTGGCCCTGTAGACGGCGTCGTCAACACTCAACCTCAGCCTCCACAGCCTCCTATTGAAAATGGGGATGGCGTCGTTAACACTCAACCTCACCCTCAGCCTCCTATTGAAAATGGGGATGGCGTCGTTAACACTCAACCTCACCCTCAGCCTCCTATTGAAAATGGGGATGGCGTCGTTAACACTCACCCTCAGCCTCACCCTCCGTTTGGAAATGGGAATGGCGGCGACAACACAGCCGGCCAGGGAAATCCCGTGAGACCCACTAATTCCGGTTTTAATCCGATTGGAAATGGGGATGGCGGCGTCAATACTCACCCTCGCCCTCACCCTCCGTTTGGAAATGGGAATGGCGGCGACAACACAGCCGGCCAGGGAAATCCCGTGAGACCCACTAATTCCGGTTTTAATCCGATTGGAAATGGGGATGGCGTCGTCAACACTCAAAACCCTCACCCTCCATCTGGAAATGGGAATGGCGGCGACAACACAGCCGGCCAGGGAAATCCCGTGGGACCCATTAATCCCGATTTCAATCCTAATTCTGCCGCTTTCTGGGCCTACATGAAGCAAATTTTTGGAGACCGCCTTTCTGGCTTTGAAGTCTCCCGCATCGGTGCCCGTGCCGAGCCAGAGGCGGAAGCCGACGAGTCTGGCCTGGTGCACATTGCCCGACGCGAGGGGACTGAGGCGGAAGCCGACGCGTCTGGCCTGGTGCACATTGCCCGACGGGATGACGCAGGGGAGCCCGATGGCTCTGGTTTGGTCCACATTGCTCGCAAGTAGATGGAGATGATGAGATGATGCCTTGACGTCTTGCGACGGGCGGTGCTCCGACGGCTTAGCCGACGGACCTAGGCCTCTCCCGCGAGCTATACAGTTCAATTTGCACCAGAATTCTTTCTAGTAGTATAGATTCTTCGAATGGGATGCGCGACATACGTTTTGCTCTTGATTTAATACATGACAAGGCCTGGCCGGCCCTGCCAGTCCCCGGATGTGAATGTAAGCATGAGAGATGAGTCAAGTCCGGATACTGCAAGCATTGAGAGGCAGTGCCCACGTGTCCACTGTGATCCATTACCACAGGGGCCACGTTACCGCCTATAGACCCAGCCTCTTTGTTGAGTTTCTAGGCGGGAAACTTGAGTCGTTAAGCAGTTGTGTTCTACCGCACGGCCGGTGCTTCTTTGTCATTTGGCAGCCCATCGTGGATCTGTAGACAGGCAAGCTGAGCGTTGCAAAAGGATGGCATAGCACGAGGATTCTGATCGTGATGGTATTGACTAAACGGCAGCATCGGCTAGCAGAAGGAGGCGCCCATAAGGACATGGAGCTGCGATGGTTCGGAGCTGGTCGTCGCGGTGGCAGCAGTCAATCACGGCGGCCAATCTGCAACGAGCGACTCCGTCAAGGTTGGCATAATCGAAATATTCAATCTCAAAGTGGCACTCTGACGCCACGTAAGATAATTTGGTTCCACGTGCCGTTTTTTCTCTTAGTTACGCTGAGCTTCTTTTGGGTTGCTATGACTCGAACGGCTATCAAGAACACCGCATTATCAAGTGTGTCGTTTTGAGGCCAATAAAGGCGACGAGACACCGAATGCTGATTCCGTGCTTTGCCCAAAAGGTGGCAGGAAAAACAAGACACGAGCCTACAACTTCAGCTTCTTAACATAGTTGACAAACTCGGAATATGCCTCTTGGCCACCTCTCTGCTCACCAGGGTCGCTGACCAGACTTTGCTCACCACCAGAATCATGGCCCGCCGCCGGCTTCACTGTTTCTGTGTACCCAAACACGGAATCATTCACGCCGAGCTTCAACCCGTAGTCCCTCAGCACTTGGAAGATCATCACGCTCTGGCGGCGCAGTGGATTGGAGCTCTCTGGCCAGTCGTCACAGTTGTACTGCCCACTCTCAATGGCCCTCTTCAGATCTGCCAACAGACACACGGTCAGTTTTGCTCAAACAGATCCTTCACATATCCCCGCCGTCTGCACTCACCTGGAATCTTGCACGGGATGACGAGCTGCTCCTCGTCCCCATAAAGAATCACCTGCAGCTCGTCCACCTCGACCCTCGTCAGCGACAGCGCCAACTTGTTCGGTTTCGCTCTCTTGGTGCGGTACAACAGCCTCATAATCACCAGCGTGTTTTCAAAGTGGCGCAGGTCTACGTCGCGCCTCTTCTCACTCGGTACCTCCCACACATCCATGTTACTCTTTTGATTCTTCATCAGCAGCGCTGCGTGGTCGATGAGGCTGAACCCGTTGCCGTCGAGCGCCGACAAGTCCAAGTGCCGCCCTTTGGCGTCAATGAGGTACTGCACCGCATCTACGTTGCAAGACTCCACGGCGAGGTATAGTGCTGTCTTGCCCTGCCAGGGTCCGCCCTCCACGCGAAGGTTTAGATAATCGGTGTCCGTCTTCTTGCGCAGAATGGCCTGGAGGATGTCCGTCGTGGCCATTTGGCCGTGCCTGTACTCTTGTATGTACACCACGGCTTGAAGGGCTGTAAGGCGCGAGCCTAGTAGATCAATGACATTGTAATACACCTCATCGGGAGGATTTAAGCTGAGAAATGCGGCGATGTGAAGACTGGCGTTTCGGTATACCTTGGAGGCTGTGATGAGTCGTCCGAGGAGAGTCTTGTCGTTCTCCATTGTTGTTAGATCGCATTTGCCTGTCTGGTAGAGCCATTTGGCGAGTTTGTATTTGCCTGACAAAAGTGCGTTCCCGCAGTGCGGCAACATGTCGAGGTTTGGATCGCGGTATTTGCGGAAGTGGTCGAGCATCTCGCTGTCGTCTGGCAGGGCCTTGGTGGAGGCGAAGAACTTGTTCCAATGATCTGGGTCAAGAGCGTCTGCCTGTGAGTGACGGAGCAAGACGCCGAGTGTGGAATTGTCTTGAAGAGCAAGTGCGATCAGCACGCAATGGGACCAGTCTGACGCTTCAGGCTTGAACATCCCTCCTCGTGTTGTCATCAGGTGGTCGATGATATAAGGTTGGCCCCGTTGGATAGCTGTTCGGATGAATGACAAACCTTCCACGCTGACGTTGGATGGATCTGCTCCATACTGCAAAAGAAGATCAAAGGTTCGTTGGAACGCCTGGGAGAATTGTTTCCCATGGAGGAGTAGTCTGCGGATGCCGTGGCCCTCGCAACCATTCACCACCCAGCCGAGGATTGTGAATGGGTCCTTCAAGCCTTGGGTACCGAAAGTGCGCTCATTGTAATTCAAATGCTCGGCACAATCGCCGGCTCTCTTTAGCAACATCTCCAATAGTTCAAACTGGAAGCTCGCTGCCGCGGTCCAGACGGGAGATATGTGAGCGTTGTTTGACCAGCTGTCCCCATATTCCGCTGTCCTCCCAGCAATATCGAATGGATCTGAACCAAGGTCGAGGAGTGCCTGAGTGGCTGCGTGGTTGTTGGCGGCCACAGCCCAAGTCAACGGCGTCCCATCCACCATGCCAAAGGTTGCGTCGACGGCTAGTTTGTATAGTTTGGCATTTTTTGATCGGGCTTTGAGGCTAGCTTTGGCCGCCACCAGTCTGTTTGCTACCAGGGGAATTTGTTCTTCTTCAAAAGCACTCAAAAAGTGTAATGGCGCTGCCCCGTCCTCGCTGCAGATTGATGCATCTGCATCTTGGTCAAGAAGACAGAGTACAACTTCGAAATGACCGGATCGGCAGGCCTTCAGTAGAATCGTTTCATCGCCCGGATACCGGGCATTGATGTCGATAATACTAGAGTACTTGTTTAAAATGGTGCGCAATAGAGAAAGACGGCCGCATGTTGCAGCAATCTGAAGATAGTCACCAACCAGACGAGGCTGGTCTTCTAAAAGTCCAAGGAAATCTATATCGTCATAAATTTGCCAGTCATCAGGCAAATTGACTCCAATGCCTGCCCAGCAACGTTTGAGATCGTCAACTGCTATAGCATAGGCTCCTGAGTCAAGGGATTCCAGCCGGCGGCGGGCTGTTGCGCTTCCCTTGCAAATTGAATCATGGAGCCACTCCAATTCGACTGCTTCACTTACGGGAAATTGCCTGTCAAAAACAGAGTGAAGCCATCCACAGATACTCTGTGCCTTCCAGTTTCCAAGATTTGCGGCCAAAAGCATTAGCTCGAGAGTAGGACTAATATCGGGGTTGTCAACTTGGTCAAGCTGTGCTGCCATGATCTGGAAAATGGAACACTGCCAAGCTGCTTCTGCCCGACGGGACTCGCTCTCCCTTTCATTGCACGCGACAGCCCGCATTTCACCTAGGATTTGATTCAAGACACAGGCTGGGATGCAGCGCATAGTACCAAAAGAAGCTTCCGCCTAACCACCTCCTTAGCTATTGATGGATTTGGCAGAATTAGAAAAAAAAAGGGGGGGGGGGGGGGGGAGAAGTGCTCACCTCTACAACAGCAAAGGGGTTGCGAACCTCGCGCATATTATTTCGAGGAGGAGCCTCGCTCTGCGTCCTGTGGGAGCCATTAGACTGTGAATATCCTGAAATGCAACTTCGTACATACCAAGTTTTAAGGGAAGTTGCAATACGATGCGCGGCATCGGATTGTGAGATGTCGTCCATACTTGGAAGATCACCACCTTGTTGTATAGTCTTGATGGATCTGTCGAGCCATTCCATGGTAGTGGCATACTTCCAGACTCTTTCCTTGTCCTCCTTTGTCGCAATGGCGCCTGAAGTGCCCGATTAGCGGATGCTCTACGACAAATTTGAAGCGGCGTACCTGGATTTTGCAGCACATCCCTCTCTTGGTCGTTGAAGTTTGCAGCTTTCAAACGCTCAGGGGTAAACGGGTCGTGGAGAGATAGAATCGGATAAAACGTGTCTCGTCTTAGTAGCCAGCTGAAACATACCCTCATGTTTAGGTAGATGCTCTTCGAACTGGGGCGCATAGAAGGTTCGAAAAGCGATGGGAGTAGAGTTCTTGCAACGGCTCGCTGTATTTTACGAATCGACACGTAGCTTTCGTCTTCGTCCAAATTGTCAACCTTTTCGTTCGGATCGGGCCACCCCTCGGGCTTGCGAGACGACATAGGACCGTATAACCTCTCTTCTTCGATTTCTAGGGCGGGACGAAAGGTCTCATGCAGGGCCTCAGTGGCAACTTTGGCATAAAAGTCATAGCTGACAGCAGACTGCCCGTCTGTAGCAGCTTTTTCGTCGCTTTCCTCGAGTTGATGTAGGATGAGGCCTCTGCTAAGCATGTAACACAGAACGAGGCCCAGGGAAAAGTTGTCTGCCTCGATAAGCTGGGACCCATCGAGTGCGTTTTGGCATTCAGGAGCTTGCCAAATATCGGTATTATACGGGAGCACGATGGGCTCCTTGATGTCTGTTTTGAGCAATGAAGAACCGAAATCAGTAATCTTGGCGACAAACCCCAGCTTTTGATCCTCAAATATTAAGACATTTTGCGGCTTCATATCTCCGTGAATGATGCCCAAGTCGTGTAACGCCGAGAGACCGCATGAGATGTCGACTGCCAGCCCTAGGATTTTTCTCGTAGTCATCTTGTCCAAGGTGAACTGGAACGATTGTATCATACTATACAAATCGGACTTTGCGGCCTCAAGAACAAAAGCAGGCATGTACGTTCCCCGCACTGATCTCCAACTCAGTCCCAGCAATTTAATAATGTTATCATGGTTCTTTACATGTTCGTGTTTCAGAATCTGTAGCTCCATGGCCATGGAGGTCCAAAGTTTCTGATTCCGCCTGTCATTCAGCTTGCCTCGCACCTTGGGACATTTGACAGCCACGGTCCGAGGCAAATTCGATGGAATGTCCTCTTTTGAACCCAGAAGGTCCGCCTCCAAAATGTCCTTGGAACGTAGGATGTAGACCTCAAAGTAGCCACCTTCCTTCACGGGAGCCGGCATGTAGAAGGACTGATCATCCAAAACTATGCCCAGCAATCGGAACCCGATACTCAATGTCTGATGCGTGTGTACAAAGATCGATAACAAGGATAGAATGTCGTGCTCCCGTTGAGCAAACCCCACATTGGAGTGCGATGGCTCTTGAGACATCATGACAAGCAATCCAAGTCCCAAGTTGGTATGGCGACTAGTGAGGAATGATTTTGGAAGCAGTTTAAACAGTAGCCATGAGATAGGGAGCAGAATCAGCTTTTGAAAGCGACAGCTAAAGGTCATGTGACTGTTGCAAAGCATGTACATCTGGTGGCTGCGGCTGACACGAAAATTGATTGGGAATGTGCATAAAATCAATAGTGCGTTTGCACCGCCTCAGCTGAGCGATCGTCGTCGCCTCATTGAACAGAGTAGTACAAGTGCCACCCTATTCCATCTGTCAGATGTGTTGATTGCGTCCGCCTTGTTCCTTCTAAACAACGTTTTTCTTCACTGATAGCATGGCCTCGCAAGTTGACCCCGTCGGTGTAGCTGGCACAGCTCTCGGCGCTACAAGCCTTCTCGCTCAGGTATTTGAGGGAACAGTCAAGGCAATCCAGCTATGGCGCAAGGCCGGCGGGGTTGGGGAGGACGCTGCTGTCTTCCAGACCAGATTAGAATTGCAGCTGGCAAGATTCAAGAGCTGGGGGATCGATTGGGGAATTGATCGCGGCCCAGCCGGGCTTCACGTCAAGGATCGGCGCTTTCAAGACCATGGCGACACGGCGATCAAATACGTGGTGTTGATACACCACTTTATCGATCAGCTGGACAGCCTGGTGTCGAGCAGCAGTGCGATCAAGGCAGCTTCGCAGTCGTCAGTTCTGCCCACGTCTTCAATAGAGAGGCTGGTAGACTTGGCGAGTCCCAACTCTGGGGAAAGACAGGCATTGTCGGACAAGATACGCAGTATCCAAGAAAGCTCCGACTTACAAGAGCAACTGTCATGGGCAGTAAAGGATGGCGAGCCTCTCAAAGCCCTCGATCGGCTGGAGAAGTTTATCAACGACCTTGAGGGATTCTTTACGCCGCCAAAAATTGACCCTGCAGCCAAGTTAGCGCTGAATAGCCTCCTAACAACGATGAACTTGGCGAAATTGCAAATGATCACGGCACAGTCAGACGCAAACTCAGAATTACGGGGTCTCGCTCTTCTGAAATCGACAATCATCGAGATGAATGCGCGAGAATCCGTTTTTGGAGGGGAGGACGTCACTGAAGACGAGACCAATCTTCACGATACACCTGCGAAGGATGAAAAAGACGGTCGCAGCTTCGGCACTTTCGAGAAGGACGGCACACATGACGTGCTGGTGGAGTGGAAAGAGGTTATTGGATCGGAATGCCCGCCCAATCATTCACTGTTCACGTACAAGGCCATGCTTCAGCACCGAATCGAAAATCTCGCAAGGTTATTGAAAGCAGAATACAAGCCAATCGAACTTCGAACGCTGGACTGTATCGGTGTGGTCAAGAGGTACCTCCGGGGTGGTGATTTGGAGCACGGAATGTTATTCAAGGTTCCTGGTGAAACGTCTACGACACTCTCTGCGATTTTGGAAGAAAGCGTCGATTCTTTGGACGCAGGGGAATGGTACCAAGTAGCGACAACACTCTCGAGAGCAGTCTTGTTTTTACATTTAGCAGGCTGGCTGCACAAGGGTATCCGGAGCGACAACATCATGTTTTTTGCAAAGCAGGGGGGTAGGTTTGTATATGACAAGCCACACCTTGTTGGGTTTGAGTACACCAGGGAGGCATCCTCTGCTGGACAAACAGAAGGGGTGGATGACGACTTCCGATTCAATCTGTATCGACACCCGGAAGTCCAGGGGCTTCCAGTCCAAAACTCGAGGATCAATACGACCCGTGCGACGAGAACACCGTTTGACTATCGACATGATGTCTATAGCCTTGGCATTGTACTCTTGGAACTGGGCCTCAAAGAAAGCGTTGAAACTATGCAGCAGAGGGCCTCCGTTTTGGCTGGCTATGGCAGTCATACTGCCGATGGCTTCTATGAATATCTGCTCAGCCACGAAGTTCCTAAGATGTCATCGAGAATGGGCAAGGGTTACCGAGAGGCGGCGAGAATATGCCTCGAGGGTGGCGTTCAAGCGACGGCAGATGTAAGTATACACGAAGATTTCTATCTCAGAGTTGTTCGAGTACTGGATGACTATCGTGTGAACTAGAACATGGGGCAACAAGGTCTCGGTAGAACTTGGCGCTCGGCGTGGCCGCAGGTACCGCGGTACCCTGTTTCTGTGGGAAAGTACTTGGGCATCGCGTGTCTCGGATGCCATCTCTACTAGAGGGCGGATTAAATTAGTACGTAACTAGTAGTAGACGGAAACTCTCACTCGGAGATGCAGCCAAACATGCCGCGAGTCATTAATTAATACACCGTGACGATTCTGCAGTGCGCCTTGCTGCTCCTGAGACGTCTTGGGTGGTGTCTTTATGCAAGCATGCGTCCACTCGCCCGGTGCCAGGCGGTGTGGCTTGTCCGGCTTGACGTCAGCTGGTGAAGTCGAGCACGCGGCATTCGACTACACGGGAAGGTTTGTTAGCCGGGCTGAATTGGCTGGCTTGGATACCGGGAGGAATGAGGGGAGTTCAGAGTCACCTCCAGACGTCAGGAGAATTTCATCATGGGTTGACGGCAAGACCCAGCCAGACCTAGCCGGGCCCAAATCTTGGACCCAAAAATAAAATTGCCGACTGCATCCCCCCGCGCAGTCGAGAGCCCATCGGCCATCTCAAGAACCTAGCAATCTGGGGATGTTGAGAGCGGGTTGGGAGGGTCATCTGGACGCCAATTGTTCGTGATTGATTGCAAGGTTCGGTCAGGCACTCGAGGCCCACAATAAAATCTCCAACATTTGAGCATTTGGACCGGACACTTGACCCAGCATTTCACTGCCTGGTTCAATGCCGCACGTGGCGTCACGGCGTCACGGCAACTGAATTTTTAGACCTGGAGCACTGAGGCCTCATCCCTGGCCGTGCTGGCCACCGCCCGTCCCTGCGCTGGCCCTTGCGCTGGCCCCTTTGCTGGCCCCCTCGCCGACCCACTTTTGCTCGGCCTTCCACCTTTCTGTTGATCCTCCGATTTGACGCCTCCTCCAGTCGGCCTCTCCTAGTTGCAAAACCTTGCTAGACAGTCCTCGGTGCAATAAACACATCTTTTCGCAATCCTGCACAACACCTCGCCTTTCAACCCCTTTCATATACTGCTCATCTTGTCCAGCTTGCTGCTGTTTCTTTCGCTTTCCCGCCCTTCGTTCCTCCGTCGATCGACAACTCTCCCTTGCGCAGACGTCTATTCAATCCACTGATACGACCCAGGTTGGGCTCTCTTCTTCGAATCCTCGTGCATACGACATCACCACCAGCCTTATCTATCGCACACGCTTCGACCTCTCTCGCCGACCCGGCTCTCGTTGCAACCCCCGTGTCCGATGCAGCCCACGATTCCGGCTTAAAATAAACCACCCGCGGGCCGCACCACCTCGCCCATACATTGTCTTGCCCGCCGAATGCACTTTGCCGCATTCCAGGGCCACTTGCACATTCCCTCTTAACGGCTTTCCCGTACCACGTTACAATTTCGCTCCTGTTTCAACCACAATCAATAAAAACCTCCGAAACTTTGAAATAAACGTCATATAATCGTCCTTCCTCCCTCATCATCACTGTCTCTGTACGATAAACGTGGACGTGGACTGTGCGCCCGATTGGTTGCACCTCGTTGTCTTGTCTTGTCTCTCGTCGTCCCTCTCTCTACACCGACTAGAGAAATTCTCCCCCCTTACGTTCGTTGATTTACATTGGCGTTCTGAGCGACTACTCCTCAACTGTTCCTTCAGTTAATTTATTATTTTTTTGGACTTCTCATTGTTCCTTTATTGCTTAGGTATGAATGCCCTTTGCTGTTGAACATACCGCTCCCTCGACGCCACACGCACCTGATCATGGTGTGGTCATTTGACTGCTCTAAGAGACCTCGCGCCCTTGGCCACCATGGCGTCAAGTAAATAGATAGAGATGCTGACCCTGCTGTAATTTGCAGCGTTTGCGTTTTCCGTTTGTTAGTTCATCTGTGCGGCCGGCACCTTCATCTTCCTTTGGAGACACCGCGACAGGTTTCGCCGACGACACCAACGACATGGCCAGAAAGTCGATTCCAGTCATGGAATGGGCCCAGGCCCACCACAGCGTTGTGTTTGATGACGATTACGAGCCTCGACATATTGCGCCTGCCCGCCGTGGAGGATCTGACCAGCGATTTCGAAGTCTAAGCATGTCACTGTCATGGAAGCGGCCCAAGCATTCGCTTTTCGGCCATGATGACATGCGCGACCCAACGCACCATGGGAACGACGCTGCTATTGACGACTCGCATGATGGACCTGAACATCCTCATGGGCCGACCCATGTTAAGCAAAGACGGGCTTCAGGAAGCCTCAAGGGCATCATTCGCCGTGCATCCATGTCTTTGAAAGGGATCATGCATCGTCGGCCGTCTGTTGCCGCAGCAGATGTAATCTACGAACAAGGCGCTTCAAATGAACGACCCACGACATCACATGGTCCTTGGAACCGCCTGGGACAAGCGGCAAACTTCCACCATTCTCGTTCTTTCTACGACTTGGACCTATACCGTGATCCCAACAAGCATGTCCCCATCCCTGGACTAGGAGATGAGCCGCCCGTCATCCCTCATCACACGGGAGCGGCAGCCAAGGCCTCGGCGGCTATGCAAAATGAGTATTTTGCCCGACAACGAGGGCTAAACCCTCCCTCTAGCGACGATGGAAATGACCGCGAGAGTGGCATAGGCATTGCGGTAACCAGGCTATCCGTAGACCTCGACAGCGTCGAACAGGAAAGCGTTTTAGAACAGGATTCTCGCATCAGCCGCATTGATTTCGTTTCCGAGTTACCCGCAGAGCTGGCTATTCACATCTTAGCCTGCTTGGACGCACCGGCCTTGGCCAAGGCGAGTGCCGTGTCTCGTCAGTGGCATCACACTGTTTCGAACCAGCACATCTGGCGCGAGTCTTGCCTCAGAGAAACAACGGGTACTTATGCTACCAGTCGTCCTGTGCAAC